CTCTCTCTCTCTCTCTCTCTCTCTCTCTCTCTCTCATTTATGGTAGAGAGTATTTGCTGAAGGTCAAACCCAGGGCCTCACTCATGCTAGGCATGTACTCTACAATCCTAGCTTTCCTTTTCCATTTCTAATGAGGGAAAGCCACCAAGCACCCTGCCTCCCTCTGAACACAGATACCCAGATTCAAATCATATTGTGATTTTAACCATGCACAGCTCTCTTGTGCATCACTTCACAAAGTAGGCAGAACAGCTCTTCATTTTGTTCTTCCAGATTGGACACTGATACTGGGACACTTGCCCAAGGTCTTCCTGGTATCTTTGTCGAGTAGGAGCCACCCAGGTTCCTGATTTAGTCCAGTGCTTTTTTCTGAAAGTTTGAGATAGTAAATAATATGTGCTTAATTCACTCCCCTGATTAGAATCCTTCAGTTGCTCCCCATTGCCAACAGGATTAAGCCCAAACTCCTCAAATTCCTTTAGGCTGTGCTTATACCAGCCATATTTCTTACTTCTCTTGCAACATTATCTGCCTTTATAAGTATTTACAACTTCTCTTTTCTTTCCTCTTCTTTCTGTCCATTTATTTTTTTTTATTTTTTTTTTTTAGAAAGAATTTTTTAATATTTATTTTTTAGTTTTCGGTGGACACAACATCTTTGTTTGTATGTGGTGCTGAGGATCGAACCCAGGGCCGCACGCATGCCAGGCGAGCGTGCTACCGCTTGAGCCACATCCCCAGCCCTTTCTGTCCATTTATTAAAATTCTGAACATTCTACACGTGCCATCTCCTCCTCCTCCTCCTCCTCCTCCTCCTCTTCTTCTTCTTCTCCTTCTTCTTGGATTTAACTCAGGGTTTCACACAAGTACTCTACCATTGAGCTACATCATCAACCCTTTCATTTTGAGATAGTCTCACAAAGTTGCTAAAGCTGACTTCAAACTTGCAATCCTTCTGCCTCAATTTCCACAGTAGCTGGGATTACAGGCATGTGTCTCATACCTGGATTCACATGTGTCATTTTCTTAGAAGGACTGGCTTGAATAGTTACCCCCTCCACCCCATTTGATAATTTTACTGTTACTGGACCCAAGTCTGTCAGTTCACTGCTCAAAACCCAGTACTCTATAGATGAGAGTTGGTAGGAAGGAAAGTCAGATTTATTCAAGGACTGGCAAYGAGAAGATGAAGGGGGCTTTTGTCCTAAAGCACCATCTTAGGGAACTTGTGCACACAAAAGTGCTTTTATTGGGAGGTACAGTGGGACAGACAATGGGCAAAAAGATTAAGTGTTGAGTAGGGTCTTGCCTGAATAGGGTCTTCCCATCATCCAGGGCACAATGTCTTTTTTTCTTTGCCTAGAACACTGCAATTGACCTTGACCTGCTGGAGCTATTTCCTGTACTTATTTAGACAAATATTACTTTTCTATAAGTTAAGCATCATCTTTACACTTTCTGATATAATCTGACGGTTAACAAATGTTCTAGGGTCTATAAATCTAAAGAAAGATTATTTAACACTTAACATCTTAATCATTTAGGTGTAACTTTTCTTTAGAATTTAGAGTTCTAGACAAAGAGAGGGGAAGCTAAAGCAACTCTGCTAAATACAACTCCCAAAAGATTGGCCACTGTTAAACTACAGTTAGGTGCTCCTTTTTTGTGCTGCCATACCCTCATATTCATGCTTTGCTAGAGCRTACCCATTGTATATATGATTATGAAGGTGTGTCAGTATTGTTTATTCTCCTCACTGGACTACAAACTCCTGTTTGCCTTTGGGTGCCTGGTAAAACTAACACTTAGTACCTTAAATTTAGTTTGTCACTTATAAATGACCTTCTTCCTGACCATTTACAAATGTCACCTACTTTTAGAAGTGTAGCRTGTTCTGCTTTTTTAGTTTAGAAATTACAAAGCTAAGAATAAAATGGATTTTTTTGTTAAATTTTAAGTTTTAAAGTCACTTTCTGCCTRGTGTATGTTTGGCAGGAGAGCATTGTATACCTCTATGTCCAGGGATCATGATGGGAACGAGGTGGTAGCAGACAGGGGTATTGATCAGCTRAATGATGGTAAAATCATATTAGGGCTTTTCTGTTTAGAAACTCCATACATCATGCCCTCACCTAGAGCCCACATACTTGAGACAGTGGATGCTACTTTGAGGACTTCTCTCTGCCAGTCTTACTCATGAGATGATAGCTGTGACATTAGATTCTCCTCTTGGAGGTCTGTATATACTTACTGTACATTGTCATATTGGGTGACATGATTCTAATCATCTCTAATTTCTTATTGTTAATCCAGTTGACCTAAGTCAGTATGTTTGTTGACAATTAATAGAATCCTACTCTAGCTAATTTATACTAACAAGATAATTTACGATAACAATACAGGCATGACTCATGGAGCTGTGCCAAAGGTATGCTTGGGCCTTACAAAAGCCTGGAAAGCCATGGGAATCCAGGCCATTATTTGTGTGTCTGACAGCGGTGTATCCCATTCTCTGCAGAACAGCTTTATCTCCTTCCCCACATTCATGGCTCAGTTTACAAATCTGTTATTTAAGTAGCCAGCTTGATTTGTGAGCCTTCAGCTAAATTAATAGGAAAGACAAAAGTGAATCACCCTATGTCTGTGGGACCAGTATCCATGTTAGTAGTTTTCAGTGCAGTTATCTCACTCCAGAGGGTGGTAGGAGCTGGTACCAGTRGTTTAGGGAAAGGGAGCTTTGGGTAGGACCGAATCTTAAAAGGTACCTCTGGGTATTTTTGTTTCTGAAATGTAAAGAAAGAGTTTCACTAACCACTTCAAGAATGAATATAGGTAGTTTTAAGTTAATGTGGAAGATATACTTCTGTTGATTTAACAATAGGCTAGTCTTCTCTGTGCTGGTTCCAGGGTTTGTACCGAGTTCCAAGAACTAGTCAAGATGATCTCTGTAGTTTTCCAACAGTTGACTAAATTTAATGAATAGCTTGCTTTCTTCTCAGATAATGATGGTAGAACCTGTCAAAAATAATTGTGCTTTAATTTGTTTTTTGCAAATGACAGACAATGAAAGTTCTCAATGAGAATTTTTAAATTACAAAAACACTCAGTATTATTTACATATGCAGTAATAGTTCCTCTTGTATAAACCCTAGTGCAGTGCATCAGAATCAGCAGGGGAGCTTTTTATAAAACCAAAGGCCCAGTCTGCATCCTTAAGCTTGTGGTAGAGTGGGTCTGAGTGTCTGTGTATGAAACAGGCTTTCCAGATGACCAAACATGTCCCAAGTTTGAGAAGCATTGCCTCAAGGGACTTGATGTGTGGCCATTGCCTGGAATGGAAATCATAGTCACCTCCACAGTAGACCATGCTCTATATGGGTTCCCTGGAAAAGTTGTGGCATTCTATTGCAGCCTTAAGATGGACTATCTAATCTCCCCTGCCTCAAGTATATATAAATTTCTTCTAATTCATTCTGAACTAACAAATTTAGAAAAYTTACTATATCTGGATCCTTCTACCAAAAATAAAATAAAATAATACAGTTTTATTTGTTGACAAAACTTGTTGTGTTTTATAGAATTTTGGGAGGAGGGGGATTGAAMTCAGGGGCACTCAKTAATTGAGCCACTTCTCCAGATCTTTTTTGTATTTTATTTAGAGACAGCGTCTCTAAATTGAGTTGTTTAGCACCTTGCTTTTGCTAAAGCTGGTTTTGAACCTATGATCCTCTTGCCTCAGCCTCCTGAGCTGCTGGGATTACAGGCATGTGCTACAGTGCCCAGCCTGTGTTATAGAATTTTCCAATTAAGGTTGGACTGATTATGTTCCCATGGTGCCATTTAATGTGTTTCTTGTCTGAGTGTTTCTTATTAATTAGTAAATTGCCATAAAAGCTCAAGCAGTTTGAGATTAGRTATTTTGGCAAGAACACTTCATAGAGGTACGGTAGACTTCATTAGGAGGCTTATTACCACGTCACTCTTTTTGTTGTCTTAATAGCCATTCATGATCATTATTTTGAAAGCATCATTCATTAAAGTTTGCTAATTAYCTTTGCATATCCAATAAATACTGAGCCTGAAATAGAGGAACTTGAAGATACATTTATTGAGAAACAGACACAGAACAAGGTCTTGATTACCCATTAGGTGGTTGCACTCYTTGGCACTGTCTTGTGGATTTAGGTAACTAATAGCGGGCAGTGAACATTCCAGCTTTCTCTACTGAGCCTTAGTATGTTATAAAGTAAGTGGATCTGGACCAACTAGGTACAGTCATATTTTCCTATTTTTGCCTTTAAGCCTTTTATATATGTCAGTTTTCTCTCAAGAACTAATGATCTTTTGCTTTCAATCCTTGATTCTCACTGGATAGAAAGCTGGGGTGTGTCTTTTCTTTCTGATTCTGTGTCCTCTACTTTGCTATGTGTTATTTCAACTTGTTCCTTTACATAAAGGATGCCTACCCCTGCATTTGTGCTTGGGACATCTAATAGTTATCAATCCTAAATAATTAGTTTAATATCTTGATTATCACTAACTTTTTGGAATTTTCTGTCTTCCTTTAGTTAACAAGTTAGCTTGTCAAATAAAGCTCCTGTGGTTTATTGTGTATTCTATAAGCATGTCTTTATATTACTATGAACCTTTAAACAAAGAAAAATATTATCCTTTGCTCTTCTTCTTCTTCTTCTCCTTCTTTTTTTTTCTTTTTTTTTTAGGAAATTCACACAAACGAAAAGGAAGTAACAGAGAAGGAAGTAACTCTTCACTTGTTGCCAGGTAACAGTAATGTTAGCCTCATACTTCCAGTGCAACTCAAAACCAATGATAAATTACATCATTCCTAGTTTTTCTGTATATAAACTTCTTTGTTTTTTATCTTTTGGCATATAACAGTAATGAGTTAGACATAGATATCAAGGTCTTTAGTTCAATAACTGTACACCTGACTCTGAGTATTACACTATCTGGAAAAAAAATCTTTCTTGTTTCCTTTTACCCCCAGCTGATGAAAATAAACCTGGGAAATTCTTGCCTCTTTGACAAGCAAATGAGGTTGTCTTACTTGGTCCCATCCAGTATTTGTGGTTTCTAGTCAGGAAAATCCCAGTCCTTGCTGCCCAAGTCTGTAGTTGCCCTTGGACAGTGCAGCTACCCATGCCTCCCAGGGCAGGTGTTGGTAGATGGTCTCACCTGCCATCTGTGCTGGTGTATCTGAGAGTGGGTCCTAGGGATACTGGGGTTTACCAATCCTGGGGCCACTGGGGCTTTGCTCTGAGTCATTCATTTGAATGGATTGCTTGAATTTTTTTGAGACTGGAAAAAGTGGCAGTAACTTAAGTTGGGTTTTATCACATTTGAGTTCAGGAACAGAAACTATTTGGTGAAATATCCTCTCCATTTATGGAAATTCCTGTCAGCTATGTATTCTTTTTTCCATTTTTTCCCAATTCAAAATAACTTTTTAAATAAATTTTTATGTGCATTTTCCCAAAACAATAGAGACCCCATTCTGGTATTTTTAAACTTTGTTCCAGTTTGTCCAGGGAATGTGAATATGTACATGTTTCTGACTGATCCATGTTATTTGGTAAAACATATTAGAACCCTTTAACTTTTTTTCTTTTTTTAATAGTACATCTTAATTTTACAGAATAGTGGGCTTCAATACAGCATATTCATACTTGCATRTAACATTTTGATCATTTCCACCTTTTTTTAATGTTTTTAAATTTCAAAGGCTTTTTTTTTCTACAATGTTGACTTAAACCTTGATTCATATCTCCTGTTGTTTTTTTCTTTTCTTGGACTTATAGATTCTGAAATTAACTTTTGTTTTAAATTTTGTGTCATATTCTCCCTTCTCCTGGCTTACTAGACGGTCTCTTCTAGGTGCACAGCTGTGGGTTTACAGTTAACTTCTCTGAGTCTCAGTTTTCTAAAGTAGACTAAGATCATTTTCAACTCCCAACTCTCATGATTCAAGAGTTTGTCTGGTACAAACAATTTGTAACCATGGTGCAGCTTGCCATGTCTGTGGAGAGTCTCACCAGGAAGGTTGTAATAGGACTACATTGCTGATTTCTAGGCTCCATACATAACTCTGGTAATGGGCTATCCTGGTCTTGAGGAGAGCCTCGCTGATAAAAGCTGTTGCACATTAGGAGTTGAAGCACAGGAAACTTTGCCCACGTATCTTTCACCTTGAACTAAGCTGTGACATTTTGGGGGGGACTATTTTAAGCCCTAATGAGGCCCTGACTTCATTGTTTTCTTTAAACTCTGTTGTTTAAAGAGGCTGACCTAGTGACTGAGCCATCTTCCAATATTTCCTTAGTGTTTCAGCCAGGGGCAATTAACCCCTTGAAAGATAAAAAAAGAAAACACTGTAATATGTGCCCCTTGGATTGTTTGAGTGCCTGAAATTCTTCTTTGTTTTCTTTTTTTTTTTTAATATTTATTCTTTAGTTGTAGTGGAACACAATACCTCTATTTTATTTATTTTTATGTGGTGCTGAGGATGTAACCCGGGGTCTCGMATGTGCTAGGCGAGCGCTCTACCACTGAGTCACAACCCCAGCCCTCTTCTTTGTTTTCTTATTGCAAGCTAGACAAAATGTGTTTTCAGCCCAAAAAATAAATTTAAAGATGGAAAAATCCAGAGGGAGATTCTGGGGGAAGATAGTTGAATGAGAAGAAAACTCCTTTTGTTGTTGTTGTTGCAGAGTATTTACATTTAGTTTTTTCATTTTCCCCTTTTTCTTCTCTTTCCTACCCTCACCAAGACATCTCAGCCCTCATGAGTATCTCTGCTTCCATGGAGCAGAGAATGCTTACCTGAACCCCAGTTCTAACTTTTTAACTATAAAGAGAATTTCTGTCTCTAGGAAATGTAGCTTCTCATGTCGGCTGGGTGCCTGCAGATAGAACAGGAGAAGTGACACCTGGAGAGGAAATGTTCTCAACTAAGAGAGGAAACTAACCCCCCCACCACCACACACACACACACACACACACACACACACACACACACACACACTGCCTCTGACCTCTTTTTTTCCTCTCATCCTCCCAGTGTGCAGCCAGAACAAGGTGGTCATGCTGTGGAAGGCTGCAGTGCCTCTTGTGTCTGAGGAAATCCTGGAGCTCTCACAGGAAAAGGGAGTGGGACCTGCATCCAGGCATGCAAGCGAGCTGCTCCAGTCTTTGCTCACTTAGGGTATTGCAGTTGTTGAACCTCTGCTGGGGTCAA